TCGTAATCAGTTTCGTATAATCTATGATTTTTTTTTAATATTATGATTTTTATTCAAGATAGTTCTACACATCAATTATTAGTTTGAGAAAAGGAATTAAGTAGATAAGATATCTAAGTTGTTCGAAATCTGTAATTTTAATTAAATTTTTATTTCAATACAATGAAATTAACAATATTTTATTTGTTTGGTTATTTTTCGTTGTTTTTTTTTTCACGGTTATTATATTCAAGATATAAATATTGATTATTGATTAAAAAAAAATTAACGAAAAAATCAGAACTTACTATATACGATATATCTATATTCCCCTCTACTCGTCATTATGTCAGTTATATATTTCTAACTACAGAGTGGGAATATGAAAAGGATTTTAAAACCGTTTGTTTCACTGGCCAACGCTGTATAAATTATGTATATATTTTCTACTTATCGCACAAATAGTAGAGATTCGAAATAGTGTGATTCTTGCAAAATAAATGAGTAGTTACTTATAAAAAAAAAAATGGTATTTATGATTGAAAAATGAAATACATAAGAAAAATATGGTTCGAGACGCTTATCATTTTTTAGTATCTATTAATGTCCTCCTTACGATTTTTTCCCACTTTAACCACCGGGTGTTGAAGTTGATACTTATTACTGGTTTTATGGATAATGTTCTGGACATTAAGACGTTTATATATGTACAATGTACATATAATATATATTTAAATCTGACGTGAATGCTGTGTAAAGAATGCTGACAGAATACAATTATTGTAAACTCAAAGTGGAAAAATATGCGTATTAGTGGTGGAGAATAAAACTGTTTAAGTTGTATATGTAAATTTGTTTGGAATAAAAACAGAAACAAGATGGCTCGCCGTAAATCCCGAAAGCCGATAATAGTCGCTCTCAAAATGTATGACGTGTTATATGTGCATTACCTGCAGCTGTTGAACGCCATGTCGATTCCAAAGAACAACGCTGCAGGATGAAATATATTTTTAAACTGACGTATTCGAATATTACCGAGATATAGTTACCTACTGGGAATCGAATTTAACAATAAGAATACGTTTATCGCCGTCATTCGCGATCCAATATAAAAATGTTATGTTTTTCTCTCGTCCCCGAATGTCATTCTACAAACAGCTTTGACGTAGTTTGTCTGTACCTACCTATACCTAGGCAGATTATATTATAATATTTATTAGATCGTACGACGTGGCATGTGCACCTATAATAATAATGAAACCCCTTACCACTCACCGGCTGTGTATTATAGACATTATGTTAGCGGTAAAAGTATGAAATAGATGAAATATTATACACTAAGCAAATAAAGATGATAAACCTTTGCGATATGATAATTTACAATGTAGCTAGTTATTTTTTTTATTCATTTCTTGTGAATGTTCTATTATATAGTGAACATTGAAAGTTCGAATAGTTAGGATTCAATATTACATGGCTGTGGTGTGTGAACTAGTTGGTGTAGTTTGCGTTGTCGATAACTACAAATTCGACGATTAGATTGATATTTTTTTTTAAATAATAAACAATAACAACAATGATATCTACACATCAACACTTTTTCATCGATACACGTACGTAGCATAACGAAATTAACTCTTGCTTTATTTGCGTAAATAATATTATTATATTTAAAAATGATGTAGGTATTGAAAATGTTACCAAATTGATATTTTAATAATAAATGGTAGATATTTCATTATCGAGTTTTAAAATTTACTATAAACAAATTATATAATTATTACGTATCCCGTATCCATATAGTTAAATTGTTGTACGTATTTGTTTACTTAGCTTATATTTTCATGTATTCATACATTTTTACTCTCATTTTTTCTTATATTTTGTATTCAAATTTCCATTTTGTTCTTAATGTATATAAAAATATTCAAATTTAAAATATTATAATATTTTCCTTCAGTATAATCAATATTTTTAACATCAAAATTATAAATTATACAATTTATCTACTCTTTTGCAATTAGGTGTGTATATTTTAACAATTACCAATCTGGGATTGTTTAGAATCACTGGTTATACTTATTTTCATACTTAAACGCTAACATATATATGAATGTAATACATACCCATAACCCAGAATATAGTATCAAATAAGTCTATACAGGGTGTGGTTTCTTGGTGCTATTTATCACATAATATAATATTCAATTGACGTACCCATACGTGGAAACACAATGCACTGCATTGACAATTATATATGCATGACGTGTACCCATGTACGGTGAAGGGATCTCATAATATAATATGTGTATAAGATATTGCTCGGTACCGTTAAAAAAAAAACACTCTCTATACTATAATACATTATACATATATGTAAATATATAATATCGTAGCAATGGGAAACGTTATTCGAATTCAATTCAGAACTTACGAAGCGAATATAGTCACTTATTTTATAACAATAATATATCGTACATGTAATACATAGCTTATGTTGTATTGCTATATATATTATATATTATTGGAGTAATATATGTAACTACCTGCGCAATAGTAACTGTATACATAGATGTTAGATATATATATAAATGTGTAAACATATCTAATATCACGTCGTTTGCAGCAAGCCACTAGAAACATGACGTAGGTATAGAATATTACACGCGTGTCGTTGTAAATATTGTGCACAATAGTTTATAATATAATAATATATTTTACTCGTTTCGCAAACATTGAACGCGCGTCTTGCATTCGACTGGCGAAACGCGATTGCGAACGTTTTCCTAGTGTATAAGTTATTTGAAAATAGGTAGAAATGTGGTGTGATGGTGAGACAGGTTGGGGTAAGGGGAGCAAAGAAAAGAAGAAAGGACGAATGATTTTTCACACTCTAGTCACTATACGTATGACAATTATACGTCTTTCAATCTTCCTAATTTGTACATGTTAATCTGTACATATTTTGAACTGCGTCCGATCTTGGAAACTTCCGGAAGGATTTGATTCCATTAAACTCAGATGTGTACTCTTCACTTCTACAGTGTTAAATTCACCAAGCGTTTTCGTAAAACTATATTAAAATATTTAAATCAGAAAACATTTTTTACTTATTGAAGTAAAAATATAGTTACTAAGTATTATAGTCCTTAAAAATTGTCTTATAAATATAAAAATGTATGCAATATGGGACATGAGTATTTATTATAATACTTGAATAATTTAGACAAAATATAAATGTTTATAGTTTAAAATATTAATTACTAAAATACGTTTTCTAATTATCGCTATACTATGAACATATTATTCTTACCTTTTCAAATGTAAATAACTCAAAGACTACTAGTTCAAGTATCGTTTTAGAAATATTTACATTTTAAAAAAATTCATCATTTAAAAAATGGGGGGAAGCATAATTGGTTAACCACTCTGTATAAATCCATTTGATGTATTACATTATTATAATACCGAATTGAGGAAGCAATGACAATAATTAATAAAGAGTATAATATTTAATATAACATTATTGTACATCATAACATCGATAATACATTTGATCAAGTTTTATCTGCCAAGACGAAAAAAACACTGGAAAAAAGTAGATAGTAAAAAAGTGACTAGATAGACACAATAAATTATGAAACGCTAGTGAAAAAACCAACAAAAAACCCGTTGGTATAGGTACCACTAGAGAATAGATTCGTAAAAATGGCGTCGTTTTAATGATTGTTGAAATTCTTTACACGCCAAAAAATATATAAAGTTCATGTACCTACATAGAAATAATAATAAGAATAAAAAATGCGAATAAAACACAGCAAGGTCAGCCAGAGGAAGATGAGGATAGTGAAAACCTAAAAAACGTTCGCAATCCAGCTACTTACACTGAAAACGTTAATTTGGTACATATATAATATGATACTTTCCCAAAACGCAGAGTATCCGCCTTGGTGTTCATAATAATAATATCATAATATTATATTATATTATTATAGTATTATACAGAGGCAAAACACGAAATATATATTATACTCGAGTTATACAGATGGTATTTTATGTGTTACACATTTTGTGTTCATGTGAATGGTACGAATTCGCGATATATCCCTCGCCATCGTATAAATATATTATATATTATTTCAGCTGCTGCGTGACCGTGTCCGATGGACTGCGGTTTTCGAGCTCTTCCGGTCATACGCGGCTATAATATATTATATTTTTATCGTATAGTAAAATAACATATAGTAATAATAATAATAATAATAATAATAATAATATTTTAAGCGATATATAACGCAAACGTCGTTAATATCATGTTATATATTATGTAATAGGGAGCGGCACCCGGTTGGCAAAGCAACGGACTTGCATGCAGGGAACGTCATTTAGTCCCATTCTGAAACGCATCGCTTATTGTTATCATAATATTATTATATTGTTATTAATTGTGTGTGATCGTTAATTTGATGTATAATAACATGTATTATAATACAACACGAACACTTAGCAACAGTACGCAACATCAAAATAATAGTGAGTATACCAATAACGAAAGTATACGCGTTGCTTGTGTGTAGGTATAGGTAGGTATATGGAAAAAAAAGTCGTTTTCGTTTAGGATTTTCAAACGATGAAGCGAAAAAAAAAGCATCGGTATATAATATCATCATACCGATATAATATTATATTATCATAGGTGCGTATGATTACGGACGAAATCGGTATAAAATATATTATAGTAGCTTACAACAATATATTATAAAATCCGAAATACGTCAGTATAATATTATATTATAGGTAGTAAATATTATAATGTATGCGCATAATAATTATATATATGTAGAAAACACTCATCAAAAACATCATAATATAATGCATATTAAATTATAATAATATTGTGTCGTTCGTACAATATTATCATATTGTTAATAACTATCAAAAAAACACGAAACATTTTTAAAAAAGTAACAGTATAATATATTATTATTATATTATATTATTATTATCGTTCATGTTTGTACCATTAGTACTTCGGACACGGAGCTTATACTGAGAACATACATGGTGACTCCGACCTCTACTGGGGGCCCTGCAATGATATGTTAAAACGTCAGTGCCTTATATTATAATAATAATATAATGTTATCACGTATTTTAAAATTATTAAACAATGTATTATAATATTAATTCAGGTATAATATGGTCGTCGTTTTCAACAAACAGATAGACTGTGTACATGGTTAGTACTGCTTAAGTATACATATATGTATATTATATATGTGGTATCCTTTGCGATATGCTTGCATAGGTATTTAGGTGCCTATACACAATACCGGATTTAGAATTTTGATTGTCCTGCAGGTTAAAAAAGATTGTTCGTCTCTGGATTTAATACATTTTTCTTCTTTGTCCCTTTAAATTGTCGTCATGCTATCTAATACAATATTTGAAAAAAGCATATCTTCACCACCGATTATTTACAAATAAGTATAAAACAATAATCGATTTTCTTTCTGTCATGATGTAGTTGTAATATTTTTAAATACATTAAATTTTTTTTTTATCTATCAGCGAAAAAAAAACCTAAGGTATTTCGTGGAGGTTTCCAAAATTCCAGACACTGCGCACTTTTCCTTAATGCTCTCTATACAATCTGCCCCTGGGTATAAATAAAAAATATGTGATGCAGTACGTTCTGTGTTATTAATATTATTATATTCGATCGGAATACATTTTTAAATACCTTTTAAGATAGAACATTTTTTTTTCTTTACAAGTAGTTATAACTTATAACTTATAAAGTACACACTTAAGAAAAAAAAATTAAAAATCCTTTCAGTAATATTACTGCATACGTTTGAAAAGATTGAAAATTGAGATACTTAAGAACACTGAAAACAATAATAAATTTAATAAATTGAAACAAAAAAATCACAAGTAAATAGTATTATATTTAAGAAACAAATTACTATAAATTATATACTATAGATTATATAACCATGAATTCAATAGTAAAGTTTTTATCAGTCTGATTTAAGTCGGGCTGAATATATTATTGTCACTGAGCACTAATTACTTGTCAGTATTACCACAATATGATAGATTATCTGCCACTCGGCGCTGAAAATGTTGACTTATAAAAAATGTTACATGTATTATTTTACTGAACTATTTATAAGAAAATATATCATGTCTTTTTTTATGACACACATACGTACACACATTCTGTTTAAATCGATATCTCAAAATAAAAATATATTATAGTGTTATATTATACTTCTTTCTACAAAATAAGTTATGAATATTGATCGATATTTTCTGTGTACCTGGTATTACCACACCCATGGAATATTCACATCCGTCGTATCAATATTACTTATATAAATAAATGAAAAGCATGTATGCAAAATTATTGCTATTTATTATATTTTTATGAAGAAAAAGCAAGAAATCCGTCAGATTGGAGAGTCGGAGCTGTAAACTAACTATCGGGCTGAAAAAAAATTATATTGTTATCAATTGTAATGCGTATACTGTTTTGATCAAACGAATCGAAAATACATAATGTTGAAGTGAATACCAAAGGTTAATGTGTCCAAAACCAGAAACTATAGTAAATAATATATTGTATAATATTATACACGAGTTAAATTAATATAGAATTATAGCTGATGGTGATTTGATTGTTTGACATTCGGTGACTACTACCTATGTCTCCTCGTAGTATGTGATTTACCGAGCATGATTATCATATTATCCTTTTAACTTCAGTTATTTAAATTTTTTAAATACTCTTAAAGAGCATATTTTCAATTTCTGGGGATTTTCTTGTTCTATTTAAAGAGTGCTCTGTGGATTTACATACTTCTGTTTTTCATACAAGTGCCACCTTTTCTACAGTAAATTATTCAGAGGGTAATTTAAAAAAAATATCAAAATCAAAATTTGAATGACTAGTTTTTGAGTTGACTAAGTTTTCGTAGTAAGGATAATATTATAGTTCTATGTAAAAAGGTTCGGAAGATACTTGGGAGCTGTAATATTATCGTGATTTAAAAATGTCGGTAATCGATATAGATCTAAAAAAATTTGAATTTTGTAAAAATGGTCCAAGTATAATAAATAATATATTATATAATAGATAGGTACACCATTTATTTTATATTTGTGAACAATTATTTTAAAGGACTTATCATATTATCTAATGGTTCAACCATTTTTATTACTGAGAAATTACTCATTCAAATATTAAATTGGGTATAACAATATATATATATACCTATATAACAATTTTCAAAAATATTACCCACTGAAAAATGTACAGCATTATAAGAGGGTTAAATGCATTAAAAACAGAAGTTTGTATCGCATTTCGTTTTAAAAAAAATCTCAAAAATTTGACAATATGGATTTCAAGTATATTATCTAAAAATAAAAAAATCAGAATTTTAATACATTTACTTTTTAAGGAAAAAATAGGGAGAGGGTGAGTATGCTTGGCATATCACTCTGTATATTAAAATGTTATTACAAAATATGCATCTATCATTATTGTTGGTTTGTTGCTTTGTTCTTTAACCATCAAGTAAGTACCTTTACCTACTTTATTGTAACGATTTAACATCGTGGCTATCGTTAATATACTATCGGACCTTGTAGTTTTGATCAATTTATTTCGACGCGTCCGTTCTTGTTCCTCATATTGTGTTTATTTCATATTATAAGACATCGTAAAGTATACAACAACTAAAATGGCTCGCGAGTGATGTACATAGAATTACGTTACGCGTAATACATTGGTATAGTGTTTTCGACGGGAAATTAACTACACAATAGTCCACCGCCTCAGGTAACTCCGTAAAAATATTTATATTAATGTCGTAAGAATCGTCGCGACAGAAGCGGTACACCTCTAACATACTCCATTCGCGTGCAATCGGCATTCGGCTGACGTTGTTAAATCATTTTTATGTGAACCGTTTTGTGTATTATACTTCGCAAACACGCCTATTATATTATTATTATAGTTGAATATCTACTCCTACCATAGCTATGCCCGTATATGTCGAGCTGGTACCGCTATTCCCTTTGGTTCTATCGCATTTTGTGTTTTATTATGAGGTTTGGTAGTTATTATTGCCCTTTGTTGCGACACGCGCAGAGTGGAACGAATTTGATAGGTCTCGACACGCGAACCGCGAACGCCTATATTATACGAAACAACGCGATTTGTTTCTGCTTGTCGGCTCTCACTGCATCGAGCCCAAACGTCACCCTGATAAGAAGTTATGTAACCGCGGTATTGTCGGCGTGGAGTTGTAGGTAACAGCTCATTTGCAGGATGAGAGGGGAGGCAAAAAGCATAGATGACTCGTAAAAAATCCAGAGTGAATAAAAATAACTGTCAAACAGTGTGATATTTCTTACAGTCTTGTCGAGAGTCAAAATGGTTAAATCATTCTTAAATTCGTTTTTTTTCTTTTAGAACACGCAGTTTAAACATTGGCCGGCGCGATGTGTAGGCAATTTCGGTACATGGGCGTGTAGGGGCTTAACAATATCTATTTTGTTAAAAAATATGATGTACCTATTTGTCTCAAAATATTGTAATCATTTCTATAATATTATTATTATTATAACTATAACATTTTTGTGGGCGAATCATAATTTATAAGGTGTGATCACATCTTTTAATATTTTTTTAACTTTACACAATTAATAGTAGACCAGAACTCTGACTCGTTACCAGTACGCTATAACGATATTATCGCATTTTAATAATAATAATTGTTAGACACTATATACAGGTATTGAAAACGCGAAGTTTAATCAACGGAAACGATACACGCTGTTGGATATTAAAATATTAAATCGATTCGTTCGATATGACTGACGGTAGCCGCGGGTTGTATAGGTATTATAGGCAATTTGGTTGTACCTATAGTGGTCGCATACGGATGAATTAATTCGTGTTATTAATAAACGGCGCACGTTTGCCAGGACCGTTGTGCAGATAGAATTACCTCCACGCACCCCGACCGAGCTGAAGTCTCCACGCCCGCGAATACACATACTCTGTCTCTCTGTCTCTGTCTGTCTCTCTCTCTCTCTCTCTCTCTCTCTCTCTCTCATACACACTTACTCTCTCTTTCTCTCTCATACCCATACCACCCACATATTCTACATGGTGGGGAATTTTAATAACACGGCACGGTTGGTTGAAGGACTAAATATTATTAATATCCTGCCTGCCTGCCTGCCTGCCTGCCTGCCTCGCATGCCATCACCACTTCTCTTTCTAAACGATCCTTCACTTCATACATAATATATATATACACGTCATACAATTAATAGAATCTCGTTCCGGGCTGCAACCAGCAGCACACGGATAGTCATTGGTTCTGCGCAATAGTATACATATATAATATATATACGACTTCCCACACATAATAATAATAATAATAATAAAACGATCTCTGTGGAATGTCTTCCATCCCGGAAAGTGTGGTCGAAATAACGCGTACAATATAATATATTATGTAATGTATAATTGATTGTCGGCCCCCAAAACGGACTCGGTTCGAGTGGTGTATATAGTTGAACATGTGTGTGATGTGTATATTATGTTTACGGGTGTATATGTGTGTTGGCGAGTGTGTGTGGAGTAGCTGTGGAGAGTAGTACGGCGGAAATTTCTTCACAGAGGGTTGTAAATAGTCGCGTGGCACTCATGTTTCCGTGCTCATATATATACGAGTTTATATAAATAGTATATTATATATTATGTAGGTCATGTTTTCCTAACCCCGTCGCGACGGCGCCCCTTCATACACACGAACGCGCGACGGATATAGCATAGCATACAAACACAAATAAGTACATGTTATATGATATACTCCTAGCGAGCTGAGCTGGTTCGCTTCGATTTATAACTCGTAACGTGTACCGTGTATATTATATGGCTGTGTTGTAAATCGTATGTGTGGCGTATAAATTACTCGTTCTACGACGTTTTTCTGGGCCACAATACTTTAATATAAATGTGTACATAATATGGCGAGTGTTTCGTTTGACGTAAGATGCTCATTG